CTTTATAAATCCAGTCTTTTAAATGGTTATTGAGACTTGCTTTAAGCTCTTTATATGGTTAGTTTTTATATTCTCTGAGATTTTTTTAAGACTTTGATTTATCTGTGTTCTCATTAGATCAGCCATGTTGTTTGTATTTAAATCATATAGGTTCTCTTAGTTTTTCTTCAAATCAATTACTAGAAGAGAAATGTAGAAAGCTTCTCAGTGTTAAAGTAGATTTATCTACTTACAAGTCAGTATTAGGTGCATATACATTTAGAATTGTTTAGCTACCTGGTGATTTGAACTTTTTATCATTAAATAGTGACTTTTATTATTTTTAGTAATGTGTTTGAATTCTATTTTGCCTAATATTAACATTTATTTGTCATACCTTTTTGTGGTGAAGTTCCACCCATAGTTTTCTCATCTTTTTATGTACAACTTTCCTGCATCTTACATCTTACAGTAAGTATATAACTGAGTAAATATATTTAATGCCTCTTCTGACGTCACCAAAAGCACAAGCCATTAAAAATAAGGATAAAATTGACTTCATTAAAATGATTTTTTCCCTTCCGAAGATACCATTAAGAAAATGAAAATATCGTGAGAACATTTGTTAAGCACGTATCTGATACCTGTATAAAGGACTAGATAGAGAACTGAGATCAGAACATGTAAAGAACACTTCGTCAGTAAGACAATTCAATGACAAGAACTGGCAAAAATGGACAGGTATTTTCATTAGGGAAATGCAATTGAAAACGACAATAAGATGCCCTTACACCCACTCAAACTCACTGCCTCAAGCTGATTCTGAACCATGGAAAGGTGATGGGACTGTTGAACTGCTTCTCGGGGTTTCTGAGACTGTCAATCTTTTTTTCTCCCACAGGACAGCTGGTGGTGTCAACTTGATGACTGTTAGTCAGTAGCCTAACCTGTAGCCCACCACCCCTAACCCCCGGACACCTGACATATGCACTAAGACTCCCTGCTATCGAGTGAATGCGACTCACTAGAGTGGCTGAAATAAAAAATGACTGACAATGCCAAGGGGCTAGTAAGGGTGAGAAGAAACAGGTTTTGATAACTGTAGGTGGAAATGGAACACGAGAGAGCCACTTTGGTGGGCTGTTGTTTTATGAAACATTTATCATATGACCCAATATTTTTACTTCTAGGTATCCACTCAAATGGAAACTAGTTCATACAAAGACTTGTTTGCGAATATTCATAAAAGCATCATTTATAATATCCCAAAACTGGGGACATTTTAACTTTCCATTAACTAATGAACAGTTAAGTTCATCCATATATAATACTATTTAGCAATAGAAAGGAATGAAGTACTAATAGAGACATAGGTGATTCGCAAAATCTTTATGCTAAATGCAAGAAATCAGGCATAGACACATTGTATGATTTACATGAAGTGCCCCAAAACTACAAAGATAGAAAGATGAATATTTGCTGAGGGCTGGTGGTAGAAGTTCAAATAGATATAAAAGAATTTTTTTTGAGGGATAAGGATACGCCATGACTGAATTGTTTTGATGTTTGCCCAACTCTGTAAATTTACTGAAACTCATTGGATTGTACAAATTAAATGAGTGAATGAATTATATGTAAACTAGACATCAATATAACATTTGAACTTGAAAAAATGTGTTCAGAAAATCCTGTCATTTTTAACTTGAATATTTAGTCCATTTACTGTTTTTGTAATTATGAATTTCTTCTACCATTTCGTCCTATGCTTTCTGTCCTGCCTTTTCTGTTTCTTCTGTCTTACCTGCTTTTAGATCAATTTCCTTCTAGTTCTATTTTCTTCCTTGATAAACCAGCACATGATGTTCTCCACTGCTGTCCTCTCACGGTCACCCTAACATTTAACGTGCAGGCTTAACCAGCAGCTAGAGTTAGGATCTTCACCTTTTCCTCAAAGAACACAAGGCATTTAGAGCACATTAACTTTCGTAACCTCCTCCCTCTGTATACCTAGCTAATGTTAAAACCCCAGAAGATGTTATTACCATTATTTTATTGTTCAATATTTTTATTATTTTAAGCAGTATTTACCAATTTTTTTTCTTTTTTGCTTTTCCTTTCTTTCCCCTCAGACTCTTTGAGACGTTTTCCCCCTTCAAAGTCTTACACCTTTCAGGCAATACGATAGTTAAGAGCAGGGTGTCGAACTGGCGGCCCGGGGGCCACATGATTTTTTGTGGCCCACGATGCTCTGAAAATGTAATGAGGGAATTGTGTGTGCGGTATTGCCTCGATCTCCCCTAAGCACTATTTTCTTCATAACAATTTTTTCTATTTTCATTTTATTTCAGAGCATCGTAGGCCACAAAAATTACCTCGGGGCCCCAGGCGGCCTGCAGGCCGCCAGTTTGACACCCCTAGTTAAGAGCATGGCTTCTACAGGCAAGCCACCTTTCCTCCTGCAGTCCTCTTTTCATCTCCGCTTAAGAAATAGGGAAACAGAGGCAAGTGAAACCAGGTTCTAGTCCCAGGGCCACATCTGGTAACCAGTAGAATTTGAACTCACTGAACCAAACATTCTTTGCTGTCAAGTTGAGAGAGCTGTGACCCACAACAACGCTGTAGGACAGCGAGAGCTGCCCCACAGGGTTTCCAAGGGTGTCCACCTTCAGGGGTGCAGACTGCCACGTCTTTCTTCTGAGGAGCAGTAGGTAGGTTCCAAACACCGGTTAGAAGCTCCGTGCTCAACTTGTGTGCCACCAGAGCTTACTTGAAATCATAGGAGCATACCATGCGACTTCAGTAGCCCTCTTCCACTGGAAGACTCGGAAATAAACCTGGGCCTAAACTATCTGTTGGCACAGCAGATCAGACCCTTTCACCACTGTCAGCAAACATGCACACAGGCTTGGGTTCTTGTCAAGCGGTGAGTTTATGAGGTTCATAAATCCTCTGAAAGAAATGAACTGTATGAGAGTAAAGCACAGGTGACTTAACTTGCAGGCATTTAGCTGCTTAAACGTCATTTTCTGTGTGTTTCTTGACTCTGTTTGACTTGAAACTGCCTTGAGAAAGAGTGAGCCCTGGTGGCAAAGTGGTCACGTCTTGGGCTGTGATCGGCAAAGTCACCAGTTTGAAACCCCCAGCTGCTTCTTGGGAGAAAGATGAGGCTTTCTGCCCCATCAAGAGTGGGTCTCAGAAACCCACAGGGAGTATCCTCCCCTGTCCCGTGTGGGTGCTCGGAGAGGGCATTGACATGCAGGCGCCGAGTTGCATTTTGGTTGTGAGAAATCTCTGGGACTAAATGACTCTCTTTGCTTTGCAGGAAACGGTAATGGAGGTGACCATATCTGGCCGCTGGCTTCCCTATGTCATGAGGCAGGGATCAGGCACACCCTTACCTATTTAGAGACCAGTCATTCTCTCATAGCACTCTGTTTCTCTGCTGGGTTGGATAAATGATTGCAATGGTTACAAAACTTACAGACAACACTTGGAATTAAGGGAGTTTATTAAAGACATTAATAAGTTATCACACATCAGCAAACAGTAAGGACTCACTGATTGGTCCACAGCAGCACTTTTCCTCAATAGCATCCAAGTCTCACTCTGGGCCTCACTCTCTCAGCCATGTGGTGCCTTGGCCTTTGCTTGCACGGACCAGGAGCCCACCCACCTATCATTCTGTCCCAATGTTCCCTAATCTCAGGATAGGTGAGGAGGTACGGTATAGCCTCAGCACTGTTCCTCTAAGCCTCTGTGCCAGTGTCTGATGTATCTGGTCTCGGCCGCCACAGAGACCTTGGATGTGCTCTGCCAAGTGGTCTTGGGATTGTTCTTTTTGTCCCAGATGGCTCATGTAGGTGGAGGAACGGCTTTGATGGAGGTGCAGTTTGTCTTTCAGCCAACCATAACCCCAAGAAAAACAAAGGATGGCACCTTCCATCCCACTAGTCTTAAAGATGCCCCAAAGGAAACAAAGGGTATGGCTTAGTTCATTCCCTCCACTGAGATCAGGAATTAACCCATCTTAGTCTTGTAATGGAGAACTCCCTCCAAACTGGGATCAGAGCTAGGCACAGAGTACAGAACTATATCTGATGAGGAATTATGGCTAATAATACCATATTAATTGGCTCTATCATATATATATATATATGTATGCATATATATGTATGTGTGTGTGTGTGTGTGTGTATATATATATATATATGATCCAGTTTTGTTTCAGGCCTCTCTTCATCTTACTTCATTGAACTCTGGGTAGGCCGACCAAACAGCTGACCCTTGGTCTATAAAGCAAATTGTGGAATCGCCCAAATGCAAAGTGATTTAGACTTTGGTTGCCTTCAGGACAGATTACAGGATGGGCTTATATACATACTGGCTAGATTTAGAAGCCTCCTGGGGTAGAAAGGGGCTTTTTAAAAGTGTGGTTAACACTGAGCAGTCTTCTAGGTCTTCTAGTTTTTCTACGATCCTTAGAAGATCTTCCACTTTGTTGAAGGGCAGTGTCCCAGAGGCATTGGCTTTGAACTTCTTCTGCAAGTCTTCTTGGCTCAGCGGCTTCCTCCAGTGACCGTAGAAGGTATCGGAGCGTTCTGTAAAGGAGGCTCCGTTACTGAGCGTGACGGTCACCTCGCAGTAGAGGCTATTAAAGTTTGGCAGGTTGTCCGGAGAGTGTTCCAGCACCACTTTCCTGAGCAGCTGTCTCACCTGTGGCCTGTCGATCTGGGATCTGTGGAATGATGGGACAGTGACGCCTCCATCGAGCAGGGTGGCACAGGCAACATACTGGAAGGAGTGGCGGGCTTCGTGCTCCGAGTCTGGGAAGGGCCTGTTTACATACTGGACATCTGGAATGCGGAGCACAATTCTCTGGATATGATTGACAGGAAGCGGGGCTCTGTCTGCGGCAAGGTGACGTCTTACAGAGGCAGCAGCGTCTGCCACCCAGTGGGTCGCCAAGTGTGCAGGGAAACGCTTGAAGGCCACGTCCTGTTGGTCCAGCAGCCACGGGTAGGCGTCTAGGTTCGGAAGGACCTTGGGGGAGTAGTTTACGTAGAAGGCCCCAAACCCTGCCTCCATGTCCAACGTCTGCTTGTTTGCTTGGAGACCCAGCAGTGCCAGAAAAGCAGCTTCGATCCCATGCCTGGCAGCATTGCCAATGTGGAGGGGCTTGGTCTGCGTGGCAGCATTTGCAAGTGGTGACCCGGCATAGGAAACGGAGATTGCCAGGGCCTCTTGGCACTTGGCCAAGCTGAGCCCTAAAAACTTGGATGCAGCAGCAGCAGCACCCAGAGTTCCTACCACCGAGGGCGGGTGGAATCTGAAAAGCAGAGAAACAGAGTTGGAGATTTACAAACTTCATCAGCCACGACGAGGTCAGTGTCATGGTCAGGAGCCTCGCGTCTGAGGCCACAGTGCCTGGCCTCAGTGAGTTTCAGCTCTGCCATCCATTAACCAGTACTCACTGAGTTGATTCAACTCATGGCGACCCCAAGTGTGTCAGAGCAGAATTGTCCTTACAGGGGTGTTCTTGGATCCTTGGCTGAGTTATCAGAAGTTGATCAGGCCTTTCTTCTGAGAGCCTCTGGCTACAGTTGAGTACCTAGCCTTTGGGTTAGTAGGTGAGCCTGGTCATCATCTATGCTACCCACGGGATCTTCCCTATTTTTCTGAATTATGTGAATTTTGGTATATTATTCACATTCTCCCTGCCTGGTTTTCTCTTACATAAAATGTGATAATAATCTACCTAATAGGGCTTTAAAAGGATTAAAATTAATTCACCCATCAACTTGGCCTGACACCTAGTAAGTACTTGATAAGTGATAATGTTAAAATTGGTACCATGGAGACAAAAATTGTTGGCAGTTGCTGAAGGCTCAAGTAAACAACTAAAATCTGTGAGCTTTGTAAAAACTACAAAAATAATGTACTCAGTAGTGCAGCCTCCTTTCCTGCAGGCTGGGCTAAGTGACAAACTATTAGGTTGAGCGATCTCTGTGAAGCTGTCATCTTTGGACCATTTTTGACTTAGGGGATGTGCAAACAGGGTCAGGAAATTTTGGGTGTTCTCACACACCTGAAGGACCCTAAGGAATGCCAGTTGATTCTGCTTTGAGGATGGGATACTAGAATGATAGAGTCACCCCGGGAACTTACTGATCTCAGGGTCCTGATTTCTTTCTTTCTTTTTTAAAAATCATTTTATTTGGGGCTCATGCAACTCTTATCACAGTTCATCCATCTATCCATCCATTGTATCAAGCACATCTGTACATTTGCTGCAATCATCATTTTCAAAACATTTTCTTTCTATTTGAGCCCCTGGTATCAGCTCCTCATTTTCTCCCCCCTTCCCTCCCAAACCCTCCCTTCCGTCCTCATGAACCCTTGATAATCTATAAATTATTATTTTATGTCTTGCGCTGACTAATATCTCCCTTTACCCACTTTTCTGTTGTCCATTCCCCTGGGAGGGTTTTAGGTAGATCATTTTGATTGGTTCCCCCTTTCTCCCCCCACCTTCTCCTTACCCTCCTGGTATGGGTACTCTCAATATTGGTCCTGAGGGGTTTATCTGTCCTGGATTCCCTGTGTTGCAAGCTCTTATTCATGTACATGCTCTTGTCTAGTCAGATTTGTAAGGTAGAATTAGGGTCATGATAGTGGTTGGGGAGGAGGGAGCATTAAAGAACTAGAGGAGAGCTGTATGTTTCATTGTTGCTATACTGCACCCTGACTGGCCCATCTCCTCTCTGTGACCCTTCTGTAAGGGGATGTCCAATCGCCTACAGATGGGTTTTGGGTCTCCACTCTGCACGTCCCCTCATTCAAAATGATATGATTTGTTTGTTCTGGTGATGCCTGATACCTGATCCCTTCGACACCTCGTGATCGCACAGGCTGGTGTGCTTCTTCCATGTGGGCTTTGTTGCTTCTAAGCTTGATGGCCGCTTGTTTACCTTCAAGCCTTTAAGAGGTTCCTGATTTCTTGATGCAGCGCTGGTGACATACATAGCTACACATTGTGCTTCTAACTATAGGGTCAGTGGTTCAAACTCACCAGCTGCCTTGCTAGAGAAAGATGAGACTGTCTACCCTGTAAAGATAGTCTCAGACACTCACAGGGACAGTTCTGCTCTGTCCTTTAATGAGTCCACTCATGATGGCAGTGAGGTTGGGACCTCTGTTGACTGTCTACACCCAAAGGAAATGACTCATTAGCACGTCGGAAGTCACATGTTTGCACATGAATATAGGATATGCGATGTGCCAATACTAGTGTTAATATCCCCAACTTAGCCAACCTCTAAGCCAGTGTTGGGGAAGGCCTGGCTTGTGAAAGCATCAATACCAGCTAACACCAAATGCTTCCTCAGAGAGATGTCACTCCAACCATCACACTCCCTGGTATCGAATGAGTGTGGACTCACAGTGAGCCTAAAGGGGAAGGTAGAGCAGCCCCTGCGGGATTCTGAGACTGGAACTTGTTAGAGGAGTAGGAATCCCGTCTTTCTCCTCAGAGGGCCTGGTGGTTTTGTACTGCTGACCTTGCAGATCGCAGCCCAACGGGTAACTACTATGCCTTCAGGGTGCCTAACCATCACATTAGTGGGGAGATAATGAAATGTTTAACCAGTATGGCCTGAGAAAGATGCTATAAACATCCAAATGTTTTCTGCCCTTAGCAGGAAAAAGGTTTTCCCACCAGTGCTCTAAGCAACCTCGCAGAGTGTTTCGCTTAGTTAGGGGTAGACTCTCTCCGTACCTCTTTGGTATGTTGTTGGCTTCCTTGGAGAAGTGCATTAAGCGCCCTTGGACTTCCACGCCAATGTTGAAAGCCAGCAGCAGGTCCAGGCCAGAGAACTTTGGGCTTTGAGGCAGGGCTTCGGCCAGAGCGGTGAGCACAGGAAGGACAGCTCCGGAAGGGTGGGTGGCCGGGTGCCACGTGTCATCGAAGTCCATGGAGTGAATCTGCTCAAGCCAACACACACACACACACAACAGAACCAACGTGTGCTTTCCTGACGTCATGGCTCGCGCACCCGTAAGGGTTCAGCTAACTGAAAGCTGCGTAGTTTTCTTAATCAACAAAGAGGAAGCCCTGCACCCACAGGCTGAAACACAGCACAGGTGTGAGGCTGGGTCAGCACCGCCAGCCTCTCCTTCTCGTGTCCATGCCCATGGGGGTGCTCAGCGTCGGGACCACCAACTGGGCACCTAATGATCTTCGCAATGACCTCACAGATGGGAAGGTTTGGAATCTGATTCCGAAAAGGAAACCCAGGAATGGGCACTAGCGTTCAGTCCCATCACTAGGCACTGGCTGGATCGCCCCTCTGCTGGGAGGTGAGCAAGACCTGGGAAGATCTTGGCCTTGAGTCTTGCTCATGGGTTAGTGCACTCTCAGCCCCAGCCCCAGAGAAGGGGTGAAGTGGTAGTGCTTAAGCCGACTCTGACGCCTGGCGACCATGAGTCGTGTCTGAGGAACAGAACCCCATAGGATTTTCATCATCTCCTTCTTTCGAAATTAGATTTTTCTCCTTTGCAGAGCCCCGGGATGGACTCGAATCTCTAACTTCGCAGTATGTTAACTCTTCACCCCACCCAGGGACTGCAAAAATATGTCACCCCTTTAAAAACACAGCTGTGAGATTAGGTGGCCACTCCTGCTCCCTGGCTCACTAGAAATGGCTTGCTCTAAAACGCTAATGCCCTTTATTCCACGTGGCTCTTGTGAGTCCACATCAGGATACATATTTTTTGCCACTTTTCATCTGGAAGTTATTCCAAACTGATGGGGACGTTGTAAAAATAGAACAAAAACTTGAACCCTTGAGCTGTTTGCTTAAAAATCATGATTTGGGGCACTGAGGTTTTAGTTCTTCTTTCATCAAAGCCAGTTATTTTCTGTAGAAAAGGAATGTTTGGATCCTGATTGTGGTAGCAATTATGGAATGATAACGATATATGAATTAAATCCCAACTCAGAAAAATAAAATATTTAAAAAAGCCAGTTATCTCCCCCTCTTATGAAACAGCTAGTCGTAAACAGAAGTTTATTTTAAAGTAGATTTTCATGTCTAGTCAGTGTGGCTGGTTTGTTTTCCCTCGGATCCTTGGATGTTCACTTCTGGATTCACCCTTGCCTTCGACTCTGAATATTCTGAGTTCTTGTCCTCCGAACCAGGATAATCTCAGAAATCCCAACGTGCTCATGGCCAAGCTGCATTTTTTAGGCTGCCGCCAACAGAGAGAGAAGCAGAGCAAGCTTCCATCAGAGGAGGAATACTGCTTTTTGGTTCTTGAACTGTTGCCATCTTGCGGCTATTCAAAACTGTAGCCATCTGATGAGCATTGGAATATATAGACTATCAAATAGAAGGTTCACATTTCTAATGAGTGCAGGAATTCAATGTTGCTAGACAGTACATCTCACTGTGACAGTAACCACCTTCAGGAGAAGAAGGAAGTACTGTGAGAATTGAGAAAATAATCCGAGTATTGAGTTGTTCGTCTATCTAACCAACCATCCACCCACCCACCCATATCCACTATTTAGACTCGTATATCCTAGGAGGATTTTTTCATCTAAAAATGTCCAACTTTTTCCCTTCACAATTTGTTTGCAAAGCATGAATTCACTGAAGGAACATGAAAACTCAAATGACCATGCACAAGAGACAGCAGACCTCTTCACCTCTCTGAACTTCAGTGATCTGTAAGACCTGGCAGTTGGGTTATTCCCGCGAGATTTCCTAGCTCCACACAACCATCCACCCATTGAAAAGACATGGAGACATCCTTACAGCTACTCCATTGACAAAAGCAGCCAAGGCTGGTGGGAGCCTGAAGTCGGGCTGGCCCCAAATCGTGCTGGAGATGTTGGAAGTGTAGATCTGGAAGAAAAAGAAGTGGCATAGAGGTGAAGACAACATGCCAAGTTGCAACTTCAAGAATGGGGATTTGTCTTAGCCCTTCCTGAATAAACCCCTGTATTAGAGTCAAGCCTTAATGGAGTTTTCCCTTCCTGGTAGAGCGGTGGTTCTTAACCTTCCTAATGCCATGACTCTCATACAGTTCCTCATGTTGTGGTGACCCCCAACCATAAAATTATTTTCATTGCTACTTCATCACTGTCATTTTGCTACTGTGATGAATCCGGTGACCCCTGTAAAAGGGTCATCCCACCCCCAAAGGGGTCACGACCCATAGGTTGAGAACCGCTATGTAGAGGAATCTGCATCTCTGCCGGGGAAGGAAGAGAACACGCTTTTGCTCAATCCTGGGTCTTGATTCAGCAGTTCTGCAAGGGGATAGACTCTGAATGATTCAGCAGTTCTACAAGGGGTTAGACTCTGAATGATTCAGCAGTTCTACAAGGGGATAAACTCTGAATGATTCAGCAGTTCTGCAAGGGGATAGACTGAATGATTCAGCGGTTCTGCAAGGGGATAGACTGAATGATTCAGCAGTTCTGCAAGGGGATAGACTCTGAATGATTCAGCAGTTCTGCAAGGGGATAGACTGAATGATTCAGCAGTTCTACAAGGGGATAGACTCTGAATGATTCAGCAGTTCTACAAGGGGATAGACTCTGAATGATTCAGCAGTTCTGCAAGGGGATAGACTCTGAATACTTACATTTCTGACTTTTCTGGGAGGTGATGGTGGAGGTGGGTGGTAGTCATGGTAACGATGATAGAGGGGAAGAAGCTATACTAATAGTCAATGCCAAGTGCATTCTCAGGAGAGGGACCCGGCACGTCTCTCCCGTGAAGTCTGCTCTGCTTAGAGCGCACCACCAGCCCCTTGTCACAGAATCGCAGAGCCTCTGCATGAACAAAGGGTCTGGGGCATGCTGGTACGATTCCTTCTAAGACTCTCAGACCAAAACAAACAAAGTCTTTAGTGATGACAATGAGCTATAAAATATTAATAGTCCATGGCATTAAGATAGTGGCTCCACGAAGGATGTGAATGAGTATGAAATCTAAGATCGTGAAGCATGAAATGAGAGACTGCAGGGCTACAGATGCCAAAGACCATGTACCACAGGACAAGTAGAGTGGTTAGGACACACGCACATGCCTTGGTACACTCCCAGGGGTCGACAGGAGTGTGTGCATGTCCCTATTATCTCTAAAGGCCTCGGCGCTCCTTACCTTGCTATATTGGCTGGTTTTGTAAAACACCTCCGTACCGGTCCCCAGGAGCCCAACACCCAGGGTATCCAGAATCATCCTCTTGCTCCTTTGGATGACGCCATCTGTGAGGTGAGCCACCTGCAAGCCGTGGACCACTCTGGCAAAGCTTTCTGTGACAGACTTGAGAGGGAAAGGAGTGTCAGGAGGACAGGGCTCTGGGCCACTTGGCACATCCACACGTCCTTGCTGTAGGAGGTCATTCTGGATAAAGAGTTTTGCTCCATTGGAAGAAACCGAATCGCTCCCATTCAGTCCAGTTACTAACATATGACATATACTATTCAGCGCGTGTGCTACGTGCGAGGTTCAAGGGCGCCTTGTGAAAATACACTTTAGCCACTTTCTGTCCAAGCAGACAATGACCGTAGGCTCTGGTGGAGGCAAGCACAGAGGGGGTGGTGGGAGGGCCCTCTCTCAAAGTAGGAATGGGGGGTGAATGGGGGCAGTGAAATTCAGACAGCTAGTAGACGCCACTTTTGGAGATGTGACAGGTATGGTGCTGTGTCATTTAAATCTGTTAGCCTGGGTATGTAGGGATCATTGGTCTCACTTCGCAGGTGAGAAAAACTAAGACCAGGAAAGGTAAAGGTGCTAGGTCAGCAAGCTATTAAAGTGGGGTGGCCAGGCCACAGCCCCCTGTGGATCTCACTCCAGAATCGGCACACTTAGAGTAAGCACACATCCGGCTGTGTGGGGCAGGCCAGCATGCGCATCAGAATCATGACATTCTTGTTGAGACCAACCGCACATTCCTGACCCCAGGTCTCCACATGTGGAACCTCAGGAAGGATCATGCAGGATTCTATGTTAAGGCAGCAGGGTGATTCCCAATGTTCTCTAGGGCTCTGAACTCCAAAGTGAGCTGCTTGCCACACGTGGCTATTAAGCACTGGAAAGGCGGCTAGTCCCAATGGAGTGTGTCTTCAATGTAAAGGGCACACTGCATGCGGAAGACTTCCTGAGGAACACGAGAATCTGCACGTGAGCGTTAGTTAGGTGGTGCCTCTGAGTTACCTTGGACTGATGGTGACCCCAGGTGACAGTAGGAGTGCCCCAAAGGCCCTCTGGGGCTCTTTCACCCAGGTAGTTCCTGGGGGGGTTTGAACTGCTAACCTTCCAGTTAGCAGCTGAGTGCTTCACTGTTGCCCCACCAGGCTTCCTAAAAGTATGTGAAACATCTTACTAATAATTTAAAAATATCGGAGACACGTTGAGACGCTGCCATTCAGGATACCAGAAGAGACGGAGTTTGATGGTGACTAGGGGTGTGCAGGCAGGGGAAGCACTGGGCCAGACTCAAGCTTATTTGGCCAGCTGTCCCCTTTTCAAAACGTGAAAATAAAAATAATTACTTCCCCCGCCCACCGCCCGGCAATTAAAACATTTGTAATATAGCCCGTAACCCAGGATCATGGACAGCTCTCTGACTTTGCAGTCTGCTGCACTGTTCCCAGGGTTCGCTTTGGGAAACCCTGGGTCACCAGAGGGCAGACAGGTGTTCTCTTGGGAGAGGAGAAAGAGTTAAAAAAATGGGGACTGGATGGGGTGGGCCGGGGAGGGGAGGGAAGGTGTGGGTCAGGCAAGCTCCTGGGAGGTTTGATAAGTTGTTGACCGCAAAAATGATGATCTGAAATATATACCCCTACTCACAAAGAGCTCAAAATTAATGTGATCAGTTTCTCCTTTAAAAGAAAAATTTAAATTATGTGGCTTGAGAACCTCATTCTGCTCTCTCTTGCTGGAGATGGCCTGGAGCCATTGATTCTGAGCTGGCTATAGAAACCGGGAGGGGGTGACCAGGGAAAGGTGCAGGGGACAGGGACAGAGGCTACAGGTAGAAGTCTCAGCACAGTCAAAGGCTGTGACGATGCAGTAAGTCCAGCCCGCTGCCCGGGAGGGCTGCCTGCGGGGGCAGAGCTGAGAGGGCGAATGGGCCTGCAGGTCAGGTCTGAATGACACAAGTGAGGTCCCACTGAAGGCTTCCAGGTCTTAGGGCTGACGTGTTTCAGGAAGGGTAGCAATAGGAGCAGATTCATGCTTTAGAGAGATTTCTAGAGACGGTGGGGTGGACAATGGGTTGGCATGGGGCAGACGAGGGCAGTTAAGAGGCTGTGGCCGAATCCCAGGTTCTGGCCTCACAGGATGGCAGTGCCAGTACCGAGAGGAGGCGGCCTTTGGCTCCACAGGGGCTTGTTCTGGACTGATTGACTAGGAAGTAAGTACCGGTGTACCATCTCAGCCTAAGCCGAGTGCAGGGTTCTGCACATTCTGTCTGCAGCAGAATGTCAGCGTTCCTTTAAGGACGAGGTTGCTCAGTGCAGAAGCAGTCATCGCACTTCCTGAATTTCCTCGCGGGGACACCGGTGCACGTGTTGGCGGTCTGTTTCACCCTCTGCCCAGCCTTTCGCAGCAGTGGCTGCTCAGTCATTCCCACTCCTGCTTGAGTCTGTGGGTGTTGGAGGAGAACTGTGCTCCGTAGGACATGTGTTTTGGGTAGAGAATGAAGTTGATCAGTGGATACCAGGGAGAGGAGGGAAAGGAAGAGGGGCTCCTGGTGATGTCACATGGTCCGCACAGCCGATTGCTGTAATTGCTTTCAATAGGTTACATACCTCTAAATTACTTAAGTGGCAAAACTTGTGAGATAGACGTATGTATTTAAAATATGACACCCCCCCCAATTTTTGATGCTCCTATGTACAATCAAGACAGAGCCCTGTGGCATAGTGGTTACCCACTGGGCTGCTAACTGCAAGGTGGGCAGTTCGAAATCACCAGCTGCTCCTCTGGAGAAAGACTGGGTTTTCCACTCGCCCAGTCACAGTCCTGGGAACTCACAGGGGCAGCTTCACCCCACCCCCCAGGGTTGCCACGAGTCAGCATTGGCAGGATGCCAGTGACTAGGGATTTTCAGCACCCCGGCATTTAGAAGTAAATTTCTTCCGAGGCACCTGTGGGTGGACTCAGTTTAACTGCTCAGTTCCTGGGGTCGGCAAACTCTTTAAGAGGGCAGAGCTGTTCCTGTCCCACATAACAATTTAAAAATATTAAAAAACCGTAAATATATTTTCACAAATTAAATCATCACTATCTGAATAATATCCATGAAACTAGGATAGTTTTACTTTTCTTTTTTCTTACAAAGAATTTTATCGGGGGCTCTTATAACAATGCATACATCAATTGTATCAAGCACATTTGTACATATGTTGCCATCATTTTCAAAATATTTTCTTTCTACTTGAGCCCTTGGTATCAGCTTTTCTTTTCCCCCTCATTCCCCCCACCCTTGTGAACCCTGACTATAAATTATTTTCATACCGTTACCATCCACTGTCTCCCTTCACCCACATTTCTGTTGTTCATCCCCCTGAGGGCAGGTGTTATATGTCGATCATTGTGACCATTTCCCCCTTCCTCCCGCACCTTCTCCCTGCACTCACGGTATTGCCACTCCCGTTATTGTCCTGATGGGTTTCTGTCCTGGATTCCGTGTGTTGAGACCTCTTATCTGTACCAGTGTCCATGCTCTGGTCCAGCCAAATTTGGGAGGTACGATTTTACTTCAGAACCTCATGTCTATACTGAAAGAGCAGCATATGGCGGGAGAGCCACAGTGTGACTGTTTGCGTTGTCTCGGGAGTCCCACTTCGTAAATGGTAGGCTCTCCCCTCCTCTGCACGACATGTGGCAGGTGGAAAACTGCAGCTGGTGGTTTTGGAACTACCAGCCCAACTCGTAACCCACTGCATCCCCAGGGCTGCTTTTAGGGTCCTTCATTTTCAGGGCTTAGCTGCCGGGTGGGGGTGGGTGGGGATGAGAGGACCTGGGCTCAGGGGCTGTGTTTCTAAGCTCAGGGCTAGTGAAGGGGGCATATAGCAACAGCATCTACAACCCAAAGTGTCTCAGCCTGGTCACCAGCTCGTCCCATAATTTAGAGTCTCTAGATTTGTCAGGTCAGGGAATATCTGCAATTTTCAAAAGGAATAACTGCATGTTTTTAAGCCTGGCACGGGAAGGAGCAGAGAGACGGTGGCTGGGAGAACAGCGCGGGCTGCTGTTCCTGGTCAGCTTGGGGAAGAGTCACTCTGGGGTGCAAGTTGGCCCTCCAGCAGCAAGGTCAGCACCCTAAAGCCCCCAGGGGGCTTCCTGCTCCCCTCAAGGGTTCCGGTCTCAGAGACCCCCAGGAGCGGTTCTACACCGTCCGACAGGGTCACTGGGAACTGGACTTGACTCGATGGCAATGAGTTTTTAAAAATTATTTTGAGAAATCGGAGCGAACATATGGAGGGGAAGGGTTGGCCTGGGAGGCAGAGAAGAAAAGAGCTCGCTTTGAAGATCCAGCAGGTGAAATACGAATTTCAAGTTCTGGCTGCTGTCTCTAAGCAAATTCACCCACCCACCCTCCTCCTAGCTGCCGAGGGCCTTCAGTGAGGGGTTCTTTAGATGCTCTGGTTTCAAGGTGCCCTGGGACCTCCTGACAGGTCCTGAACCCCATCCTCAGCACCAAACAGCAACTGCCCCCCGAACCCACCCTGGCCCCTCACTCCGGAAGGCAGAGAGCATTAGTAAAACAGGCATCTGCTTAGTTATCTGGGAGCGGTGTGCCTCCCTTTACCCCAAAGATGCCCGCTTGATCTGTTCAATGTTCTCATGGCAATGAAATAGCTTTTTAGTGAAATACCAAGATTCGTGCATAAATTAGGACATCAGGTGCCATCACTGACTACATACTGACCTATTCTTCTAGGTGCCTGGCATCGTACGGAGCTCTTGAGAAAACTGAGCTAATGGTCTATGACGTCTGCCCTCCCACACCAGAGTTCAGTTCACTAGCAGACCTGGGCTCCTGGGGTGGCCCAAACTCACCTTCAAGCCCGTTCTGACCCACAGCAGCCCTGAGGACAGAGTAGAACTGCCATGCAGGGGGTTCTCAGATTTTAAGCTTTATTCAAGCCTGCAGCCTCATTTTTCTCCCACTGAGCAACTGGTGGGTTCGTACTGCTGACCTTGAGGTTCTCAGCTGCACTCAAAACCAACTATACCATCAGAGCCAGGAGGTTAAAATTCAGTGAATGTATACATCCCCTTGCTTGCCGCCTCTTTGTAAACCACTGCTGAAAACCAAGGGGGTAGTAGGAGAGTCCAGAGATCAGGGGAACAGTTAACAGTGCTGTTTCTGAAGCGGACACGCAGGTGA